ACCGATCGAGGGGCTATACAAGATTCCCCCCTCCCGAGAATCAAAGCTAAATCGGGCTAAAAATCCTATAGTGTGAGCCAGGCTTTATGCCGAGTTCACACTGCACGATTTTAGCCCGATTTTTCACTCGCCAACAGGTTTTGCGAAATCGCCGATAAATGCCCGAAATCGGAGGCAAATCGGTGCTCGTTCACGCGAGTGACAATCACGCAGTGTGAATTATCAAAGATGCGATCTGAGGGAATCGCTGACACGTCGCCGACGCCCGCAAAATATTTGGCATGGTAAATATCTGGAGCTGTCGGCGATTCACAATCACGCTGTGTGCAATGATTTCTGACTGAAAACTACATCGGCGATGACCTACAGCCAATGAGAGACCAAGATACAGGGCAGAGGGAAGTTCGTGGAGGAGTTATAGACCAGAATATCAGTATTTTAATAGATATATGAACAATTATATCATACAGAAACAAGCACAAACATTTGCTTGACCAGCCACAACATCAGCATAACAGTTGCTGCAAAATTATTTACCTCCAACTCTCTTTGCAGAACACCCAATCCCTGTTCCCTGCATCTCCCTCCTGCATAATCTGTTTTTCTTTTTCTCCTTGTAGCTGGAAATCAGCTCACAGACTATTTGCAGGCTATATATTTTTTAATAATTCCAGTCTTGCTCGCGAGAACTCCGGTCTGACGCACGTGGGTTCTCGCGTTATTTCCTTATCACTTCTCGCGTGTGTTTTGTTGTGAAACGTAGTTTGCGGACCAGACAGAGTTGTCGGCGATTCTTCCTATTGTAAAGTCATGCAGTGTGTAACCTCCTGTCGCCGATCCATCATGCAATGTGAACACAGCAGCGACTGACTGCTGCCTCAGATAGTTGTGCAGTGTGAAAACCACGGTGACCCGACGACTTTGAAAATCGTGCTGTGTGAACTCGGCATTAGTGATGGCACAGCTGATAGAGCGCAGAGCCAATAAGGAGCCTTTCAACCTGTAAAGGTTTACAGTGGTAAACATGACAAGTACAAGACTTTTCCTGAATACCCTGTTTAAAATTACTGTAGTTCAAGCTCCTGCCTTTTTATTTACCTGCTACTGTTAATTATTAACTTTTATTGCAACTCCGATATGATCACTCATATTTCCTTAGATCAGCCCAAATCAAAGTGTGTAAAACTGACCTCAGATCATCAGAACAGCAAGCTTATGTAAGGGAAACAGGTCAATTTAGTTCAAAGGGAATCATTTAAGATTTTAAAGGGAATTTGGAATGAATCACTGTTTTACGGCTGATCACTGAGGCGGCCAGCGATTCATTGAACGATCGAGCCGTATGACATAAATTCTGCAATGGATATTAATATCCAAAATCTTGATTACTTGCCCCCAAAATTGACAATCTCCTTGGAATTGTCAATAAGTGTTCTTTTGTTTAAATGCTGTGAGCTACTCAAAGCTGCTAGTTGGTTCAGGCTTGTGGCGCCAGGATCTGATTTACGAACATCCTGTGTCTTGGGCCTCTGTGGAATTCGGCTCCTCGTGTTTCAACTATGTTCTTGATCAAATCTTAAATTGTCTGATTCGGTCTGATACCCTACACTTATCATTCACAGTTAAATATTAAGTGAAAGTGGAATTAGATCTATAATCTCTGTGCATGTTTGCCCATAACGGACCAAATATTTTCTTTGCAATTTATATCAAATATGAAGCAAGTTTCACCTAAATTGTTTTGAATAAAGAATAAGAAGAACCTTTGCTAACACTTTAAAGTCTTTATGTATAATGTATTATAAACATAGTTTTAATGCATTAATTATGCCTTAATGCACCTTATAATGCATTGTACAATCTCATGAATAATTGTAATCACAGTTAATACATTATAAGACTTATCAATTCTGTAAAGAGGGAGGCGACAACGGAGTTGGTGATCCAAATGCAGGCTTTATTCAACAAGGTGTAGTCATACCGGCAGGGTCCAGTAAATAATTATATCCAAGGCAGAGGCAAAAGAGTAATCCAGGTAACAGGCAATGATAAGGACAGGCAACAAACAATCAGAATCAAGGACACAGTCCAGGGTCAAAAACACTAAAGGCAAGGCAAAACTCTGAAGGAAGACTAGGAAAACATTCAATCACCAGCAATGTGAGCATGTGTGTGTGCTATTCTTATAGTGTGAGACTGATGAGGTGATGAGAGAGAGGTGATTGCAATTGATGATGAGTCTAGGCAAAGAATTATGGGAAATGGAGTCCGGGGTGAAGTGACAAGAGTCTGGAATGGAGTGCCCTCTAGCGAAGCTTATGGGCACTCCAGCTAAAGATTGTGACAGAGCCCCCCACCAAGGAGTGGCTTCCAGTCACTCCAAACAGAATAGACTAAAGTCCAGGAGGGAGGTGGAGTGGAGGCGGAACAGGGGGAGGGATGGAGGGCCAGGTCCATGTGGAAGTGGAGGAACAAGGAACTGAGGCAGAGCCGACGGAGCAGGGAGCCAGGGCAGAGCAGAGTGCCAGGGTGGAGCAGTGAGACAGGGCGGAGCCAGCAGAGCAGGAAGCCAAGGCAGAACCGGCGGGCCCGATGACCACCAGAGCGGAGCAGGTGGAGTTGGGAACCACCAGGGTGGATCTGAAGACCACCAGGACGGGACAGGTGGAGCCGAAGACCACCAGGGCGGCGCAGACGACCACCACAGTAGAGCAGATGGATCTGAAGATTCCCACGGTGGAGCAGACGTCCACCAGGTCAGAGCTGAAGACCACCACGGTGGAGCAGATCCAACTATAACAAAAAGCACAGAGAGGTTAACAGCGGCCTCTGCGGCTGTAACAGGATAGGCAGAGAGTTCATAACCGGTCTCCTTGACCATGACAGAACATGAGAGTTCACAGACGGTTATAGAGTTCACAGACGGCTTCTGCGGCCGGGTCGAGACAGGACTCAAGTTCATGGACGACCTCCGTGGTCAGTTCAGAACAGGATTCAGGCAGAGTGTACACAGACGGCCTCAATAGCTGTGAGAGGGCAAATAGAGTGTTCAGGAGTGGTCTCTTTGACCGGGAAAAGGTACTGAGTGGATTCAGAGACAGTCTTAGTGACCGTAACAGGCAGGGCTGAGAGTTCATGATTGGCTTCTAGGACCGAGACTGGTATGACAGGGGATTCACTGACGGTCTC